TATATTGTTTGACCTCGAATCATCTTTGATATTAAACGTAAGTAAGGTTTTTCCTTTGATTTTCTTCGTAATAAAAGCGGATGGTTGCTTGAAGATTGCTCAAAGTTCATCGTTGCTACCTTAAATTCTTAATAGAAGCGTGTATTTGATAACTATAATGTGGCAAACATATTCTAAAGCATTCATATCCGCTTCCGTGGATCATTGGTTAATTTTTTTGCAGTGGGATAAGTGAGAGCAGTTTTTGGTTTGAATCCACGCCAAGCCTGATATTTCGGTCGGGTAGGGCAGAGAATTTTGAACAAATGGAGATTTTATCCCACTATTCTAGAAATTGTTTAAATAAAACTTAAATTTCTGTAGAAATTTTAAGTTTTCTGTAGCTTTTATAAATAATAGGGGAAACTTATTTCTAACGAGCTGATCTGGCAAATATTGCAATATGAGGACCATTTTTTATAATAATAATAATACTTTCGACCAAATGTCATTACCATAAAAACGGTTCTTGTGATCTTATAAACTAGACATAGGTATACCTACCTCGTGGACATGTTTTTACGTTGTTTATAGGATAATAATACTTTTATACACCTTTTTTCGGTATTATAAACCGATATCGCAAGAAACAAAATCAACAAGGTATATGATTTTCTACTTTTTTTTACGTTTCTAGCTGTTGCTTCACTACTGTTGGTCGCAGCCTGATGTCTGTTCTAACTTAACGCCTTGATAAATATATACACCAACCAATACAAAAATATTTTATCAATTCGAACCTGTAGTTTTTGAGATTAGCGCGTTCAAATAAACAAACTCTTCAGCTTTATTATTTATTTTTTTTGTATTCGACTGGCAAGTACACCTTGAATTCCAAAGGCGGGAAGTCCCGGTCGTGGCAGCCAAAACAATTTTTTATGGTTTATTAGACGAAACATTTGTCCTTTAATTTCAGCAACTTTCTGTATTACCTTTTTATTTCCGCGCGGTCGAAGACAGGTTAGTTAAAAAAAATAAAACACTACATTCTGTCTGTAGTTTACGCGAGTAGAGTACTTTAAATAAAACACTAACGGTTTAAAACGTGGTATGTATTATAATAACGTGTTTAAAACCGTATAATTTATAAATGGACTGTTTAAAATATTAATAAAAAATTGTCTTGTTGGTTTTGAAATTCGCTAATGTAACTATGTTACGTAAATAAACCGACGTTTGCTTTAAAAGTTAAACGCAAAAGGATAATTCATTATCATTGTCTATTTTCGGCGAATTCCCAAATATGGTGCAGAACAAATTAGAATATATACCTACTATCGTTGCGAGCGTTACGATTACAACAAATAGTAGTACCTATTTGTGTAGTATTTAAATAAAACACTTTAACGGTGTAAAACGCGATATGTTAGTTAAACTTATTTGAAAAAATCATTTTTACATCCGAAACGTTGGTCACGTTTCGGATGCATTGCAGCAGCCGTGGTCACGGGGAGACAGCCGAAGTTAAAAATTATTTTGAAATACGTTTAACTAATATATCGCGTTTTAAACCGTTAAGTGTTTTGTTTAAATGTGTACTCGCGTAAACTATAGACAGTATTTATTTGAGTAGAAATGATTTTTCAGATAATGACGAACAAGTCGTTATCTCAGTCGGTTAGTTTTTGTAATCCATAAAAGTGTCATTTTTTAACTGTTTGATTCCTCAATCTATACTATGATTATAAAGCTGAAGAGTTTGCTATTTTTATTTGAACGCTTCATTCACGGGTCATTTAACAAGGAATATAAAACATTGGGATATGACAAATAGAAGTTGAAGGAAATAAGAAAAAAAAGTAGTAATAGTTCATCTTTTTCAAAACGGTTCCAGAAACCAAAAAAATATGCTTGGAAAGAAGAATGATTTTTCTTTAAATGATCTAAAAAAATATGATTATATGTCTTTTTTAAAATTAACTCGCTATGACGGTAGGCATGTAACAGCAAATATTATAAAGCTAAAGAGTATGTTTGTTTGTTCTCTTCAGCAATGAATGGGCGGTGGCAGGTTTTTGACACCGCGCGCTGTGTACAATAATGGTGGATAAATCTGCGCAAAATATGTACAAATCTTAATGCTATATATATCTGATACATTTAAAAATAATATTAGTATTATGAATAATCTTAGGTCTTTACTTTACTCAGTACTTCTTTAAAATTTCATTCAACCGTCTCAACCCTATTTTTAATTAAGACCGGTAACTCGTTTTCTTAGAAGGCGAATTTCCACATTCATTTTATACCTTGTGGAAAAACCGATCGTTATACATATCTATATAGATAACCGAAGGTGGCTATAAAATAAGAACCGGTTTGATATTCTTAGCAGATTTATATTACACTAGCTACGGCCGCGACTTCGCGTAGAATAATTACTGTTTATCTGTAAAGAATAGATATTTCCTATCACAAACATTTTTTTTGGGTTCATCATTCTTTCATACATGTGTTTTTGGGTATCTTTTTCGCTTGTTCCCTATAGCCTCCCTCGGTAAATGGTCTAACTAACAAAAATAACCATTATTTGATAAATACAATTTGATGCTCAAACAAAGCGACTTCGCTGGACGAAGTCGCCGGCACAGCTAGTGAAGTAAGTATAAAAGGCTAAATTAAATATGCTTTGGATTTACAGTAAAAGAATAATGTGATTTAAATTTCTTATTAATTTTTGGCCTGATATAAGTAATTGGGCACGCCCATGTGCCTTAAACTTAATCGAATGACGCAATAAAGGGTAAACAGTTTACAGCCGAGTACTGAAAGCTGTAAAAATATCATGAACCCACATGTTTATACTGCGTCTATAATCTGTAATACTAGTTGTGCCCGCGACTTCGTCCGCGTAGAATAGTTATTTTGGTCGTCGAAGTTGGTTTTGCAAACTTACTTATGTTTATAAATTACAGTTGTAACCCACGACGTCGTTTGTGTCCCGTCGGTCTTGCAAGGTAATCATAAAATATAAAAATACAATCATTTGAAAAGGAATTATTCTTTTATAGGTACATATTTTTTTGGTATCTTGAATGGTTTTCTTGGCGTACCTACGCATCGGAAACTCCCAAAGATGAATATATTTACCCCTTTTTTTACATTTCCCAATATATCTTCGCTCGTGGTTATTGCAGCCTTAAGTTTTATCTACTCTAACTAAAACAAAAATAATTTTTCAATAATTCGAACCAGTAGTTTCTGAGTTTAGGGCGTTCAAACAAACAAACTCTTCAGGTTTATAATATTAGTATCGATAAGGTTGTCTCAAATATATCTTAGCCAATAAGTAATATATATATGTAAACTAATTTAAGAGTACTAACTAAACTATTCTAGTACTCAATAACAATAATAAACTCAATATATGCAAGTATGTAAAATTCATAAATTTTATGAGATCTTAAAAATACGTAAATAACTTATGAAGGAAATATTGTAAAATTTGTTGTGTTGTTTACAAACTACAGGTCAAAGATGTTTTCACTAGTAGGTAGCTCATTTAACTAAAAATGCTTTAGTATTTAGGGTGGGAAAGAATGACAGCCCGTTAAAGCAATTTTCAAATAAATTTGACTAAAATATATTGAGTTTTAAACCATGTGTTTTATTTAAACACATCTTCTCAATTATAATACTGAGTGTGTGTGTGTTGTATAAATGGTATTATCAACAACGCAATCAGCCATCCGCTATTTGTCATAAAATTGTAATTTGAACTCAGTTGTTTTAAAATCTGGTATTTACGACACGTAACGTCATAAGTAGATCATTTGATTTTTGCACGCGCATGCAGCACTTACTCCATCATCAGCTGGTCTTCAGAATGCTGTAGGGGCAGTCATCTAAAAACTTCAATTCCTGTATACGTCACTGTGGTATACTAACGAAATGAATCACTTACTTAACAGTTTCAAACGCGAAATATATTTGTTAACTTATGCTTTGCAACAGCCGAAACGTCACACCGTAGTTTGAACAAGTTTTAAGTTAATTAATACATATATTTCGCGTTTTAAACTGTTAAAGGTGTTTTATTTTAATGTGTACAGCTCGTGTAAATTACAGATAACGCTTTAATCATTAGTAGGGTCTAGAATGAAAGAAGCCACAGTTCGCTTATCGTTTATAGAAGAATCATTCCTTAATACGCATTTATAGGTTTCATGAACCGTTTTTTCAGCCCACACAACTAAGGCTTACACTTTTTCTTCGCTCCTATTAGTTGCAGCATAATATTGTATAGCCTAAAGCCTTCCTCGATAAATGCTCAACAGAAAAATAATTATTCAATTCGAACCAGTAGCCAGCGCGTTCAAATAAGCAAACGAACTCTTCGGCTTTGAAATATTAGTAATGATATTGTGGGTAGTATTATCAACGTCGCTATATATATAGATGTAATTTAATCGTTGTTTTGATACTAATCCGGTATTTACGGTACGTGACGTCATAGATCGGCCATTTTGTTTTATTTCCACAGATAGTTAACACTTAATTACTGTCATAGTTATAGCACGTGTTCGATTAAAGTCATGTTTCGATTAGTTGTCTATTGATATTTGACCCTGTTGCCCAGTGAATGCTGCATTGCGCTAAACAATACGGATTTTGGATTCGAATTTCGGGGTAAACAAATTTTATACGTGTTTTGTCGTCGTTCCACGGAACGGTCCCAGCCGTCACGACCGCAGCTGCTGCAAAGCATCCGAATTCCGAAACGTCGAGCCGTAGTTAAAAAAATTGTAAATAACTTAACTAATAAATTTCACATTGTAAACGGTTAAATTTCTTTTATTTAAAGCGTTTTGTAGTTTCCTGATTCCTAATTTCCTTTAATAAAGATTGTTATTTTAATTTACTTTTTATCAATATTCAGTTCTTTTATCGTTCTTGTTGTTCTTTGGAAGCCTATAAAAGCCTTTTTTATTTTCCAGATGTACGACACAAGATAGCAAATAATGATACGCTGTTGCTGTATTTTGCTGTTGCTAGCAAACGCCAGCTTTGCCCAGGCGCTGAAGTAAGTTTCAAAATTTCATAATCAACTTTCGCCGAAAATAAATTGAACTTGACTATAGTTAGGGTGTGAAGGAAGAACAAATACACTTTGGCATTTAATGCTGTTAATTGAAATAATAATAAAATAACGAAAATATAATTTAATAATACCACATAGAAACTTTCAAAGTTTATGAATATAAAAAAATATAGTATTCATATAAGTAAATAAATAAACAAAAACAATAGGTCTATTATCTACCCTTAAAAAAATTATATATAAAGAATTGGCTTAATAAATAATTTATTTAGACTGAACATTTTGTTTATTTGAACGCGCACTTCTCAGTAATTTCTGGTTCGAATTCAAAAATTATTGTTTATTAGCCTTTTTTGACGAAGACTTTAAAAACTAACTAACTAAAGACCATAAAACATAGTGCTGCGATCAACTGGAGCGAAGACACCGTTCAAGACATCTAAAAACTATTTATGAAATAATGATTCCCCTTTGAGCGATCCAAATAAATGTCCGGACAGTATATATGTCTATCTTATAAGATTAACTTGTAAGAACGGCGGGACTGGAACGACGTCATAACATAACGTAATTTATTAATATGAGAAGATTCACAAGTACAAATATCGACGCCCAAAATAACTACTTAGTCTCTATACATATTGAAGTGTATGTATTTATGTCCATATGTAATTTTTCAGTAACACAGCTCTAGATCTGACGTTCCCCCTGGGCTTCGACTCGGAATCTTTAACATGGAGTGGTGGAGTCCAGGGTCTCGAGTCAGGATGCACATCTACTCATCTCCCTCAGCAAATAGAAGTGGCGTGTGCGTTGCCAAGTGGAAATGTGAGGCTGCTGGTTGCGAAAGCGGCTGATAAGATCACATTGCAATGCGAGGTAAGAAGTATTGTAGTATCTAAACGGTAAAGAGGAGAACAGACAAGCATAGGGCTCAACTGATGGGAGGTGATGTACGCCAGCCTTATAACAACTTCGCGAAACGCTATTGAACTTCACCGTTGTGTCTTTCATGGCTTTATAAATATATATAAAACGTGATATATATTAGTTAAGCTTATTTGGAAGTTATTTTATCTACGGCCCGACGTTTTCGATGCTTTGGTAAACAATTTTTTTTTGGAAACATAGCAAGAAATTATAAATAAAAAATATATAAATTGATTAGAAAAATGTTGGACCCAGTGGGTGTTGAACCCACGGCCCGTGCATTATTAGTCATGCATTGCTACCATTACACCACCGCGTATGGGTAAGGGGTTGTCCATTAATCACGTGAGGCTTGAAGGGGGGGGGGTTGATAAAAATCACTAAAATAACACAAGGAGGGGGGGGGGGGGTATAGTAAGATATCTCGTGTATTTATTTTTTCGTCAAACGCGCGATTTTTAAACAAATGTCTGGTGTAGGTACTAAAAATACACGTGATATTGAGATGGGGTGGGGTGGTCTTAAACCTCACTACGTATCATCAATGGGGGAGGGGGGGGGGTTTAAATATTCTAAAAAAAGGTCACGTGATTAATGGACAACCCCTAATATAAAAATGCTTTTTCAGGAGGAAACCTACAGCTGCCAGGATTTGGAGAGTGCGCGCAAAGAGATAAAATCCTATACGAGTGTTGCCACACGCACGATTCCCACTCTCGCCATAGAAGACTGTGTGCTCCCAGATGAACCGCTCTCGTGTGTACTCGGCCTTATTAACGCTAGTGATGCCAACGTTCTGATGTTTACGAGGCTTCGGAATGTCATCGCAGAGAGAAATGTCGCAGGATTGACAGCTGTCAAAGTGCAGATACGCGGGCTAGGTAATTTTTTTAGCTATACTAATATTATACCTAAAGTTATATAAGGTTCGAATTGGGAAATTATCTTCTATCTAAAGAGCATTTATCGAGGAAGGCTTTAGGCTATAACATCACGCTGCGCCTGAAATTTTGATGCCTAAAACTATTCGACGCGGACAACGTCGCTGGCACAGCTAATTATTTTGTATAGGTTATCGTCACTACATAGTATAAAAAAAGTCGTTTTTTTTCACTATGTACGCTTAAATCTTAAAACTACGCAATGAACTTGGATACGGTTTTTTTTAAATAGATGGACTGATTCAGGAGGACCATTTTTAAAAACAACGTTCATAGTATTTTTTATAGTGTATTTAGTATCAGCATTGCCCCCGAGCAAGCCAGGGCGTGTCCCTTGTTAAATTATAAACTACCTAGGATATAAGTACTAATTTATATATTTCCTTTAGATGCAAACGTGACGTCACTACCCCTAGACGCCCTGTCGACCCTTCCAACGCTGCGAGATCTCTTTGTACAATACGCCGCCCTTCGTCTCACAAACGAAACGGGAGCAGTGCTGTCAGCGCTAAAAGAGTTAACCATATTGGATAGTAATGTACCATCGATACCAGATGGCGCTTTTATCAGAATGCCGAATGTTGAGAATTTGATGCTGGTAGGAGATAAGATTGAAGAAATTGAAGAAAACGCTTTTAATGGTATAATATTTATTCAAGTTATTATAGAAAAACACACAAAATCAAAATGTAGCATAAATCGAATTAAACTTTTGTGCTATAAAAACTTTATTGGTGGTCACGGGAGACAAAATGTTTATCATTCTAAACTACAACGGCTGCCAAAAATGCCGGCAGGCTCTGTGAAATGTTTTTTTTTTATATTAATGTGTTTTATATACAAATTCCAGATCTACCTCACCTAGTCAACGTAAGTTTGAACGCAAACAAACTAAAATCCTTGCCAGATGAACTTTTCTCGAAAACTACCCTCATTCAGAATATAGATCTGTACGACAATAGTCTGACAACGCTGCAAACGTCAATCTTTAGTGGACTCAGGGGGCTAACCGAGGTAATTCGATTATATAGTCATTTACGTAGTCAAGTAAGTACTACGCAATGGTTAGACCGATTTTAATTAACGTTGGATAATGGTAATAGTGAAATATCGGTTTGGTTATTACAATGAACATCAATATTTAGGGACTATAACTAGATTTTAAAACGATATTTGAACCGACGATAGACATCGTTGCGTGGCGTTTCTTTGCTTATTAGACCTCTTTTGCAAGTCTACATTGTTAAGAAACATCCGGGTTTTTGTCATATTTTCTTTTTTCTCAGGTAACAATTTTTGCGAACAAAGAATCTCTTAAACTACAAAATGGCGTCTTCTCGAATCTACCGTCATTGCGGTCTGTTGATCTACACAGTACAGACTTATTCAATCTACCCGCAGATTTATTCACGAACAGTACGAACGTTCGCAAAATAAATCTATCAGACGCAAAGTTGGCAACACTGCCTGAAGATCTGTTTTCGAATTTGCAATTGGATTCTCTCGATTTGAGTTATAATTTATTAGAAGTGTTGCCAGCTACGTTATTGAGAGAGCAGAAAAATCTAGTCAAATTGGATCTGTCTAATAATAAGTTGAAAGTGTTGCCAGTTGGTTTGTTTAATTCGATGAATAAATTGAAGACTTTGAATTTGAGTCGCAATCAAATTGGTTCGTTGGATGTGTGAGTATTTTTTTCTATATTATTTTAAAAACTGCTTTAGTGCCTTCTGCTCGCCTTAATTAAAATAAGTTAAATTTCGAGTTTTAAACCATTGCAAGTTTATTTAAATGTCTTACTCGCCTGAAGTATAGGCAATTTGTAGGATTCATTTGTTGTTGTTTTTTTCAGTAACATTTTCCAGGGACTAACGAAGCTAAAAGAATTGAACATAAACTACAATACACTTCAAAAGTTGCCCTACGCCATCTTTGAATATGTACCAGAATTAAAGGTAAGATAATTGTAACCTTATTAGGGACTTTCAGGCTGTAGGTAAAATAATTTCTCGTTTTAAACCGTTATAGTGTCTTATTAAAAAAATGTTAACCTTAAACTCCAGAACCTGTTGAAGAAAATTTGTTAGGCGGAAGGAGAGTGGACAATATAAACTGTGCACGAAAAATTCATACATACATATTGTATTCACCACATAAATGATAATACCGTGATACATTATATCCTGGCCATTCTAAAATATCAAGTCACTTCTACCCAACTCATAATTGTACGTTACAGGAACTACTTCTCGCCCACAACAACCTCTCGTTCCCCTGTGTGCCATCGCCCCTATACCAAGACGTCTTGTTGACATCCCCCCTTAACTCCCTCATGCAACTGGTGAAGGTGGACCTAAGCTACAACAACCTGGAGGCGATCTGCGACGATTGGAGGAACCTGGTCTTTCTTAGCGAGTTGGATCTGTCGCACAATCACATAGCTGAGTTGAACGTGAGTTGCTAATTAGCTTGTGACGTTTGGTACTCATTTACTCTCAAACGACTGAACTGATTTTGATTAGGGGTTGCCCATTAATCACGTGATCTTTTTTTAGCATTTCAACCCCCCCTCACCCCTCCTTCTTCTTAACATCACGTGTAGTTTTAGTACCTACAAAGAATCTTAAAATTTTCTGAATATTATCTTAATTTAAATACAGATATAAACTATAAGCTTATTTTATTCTCAAATTAAGGACTCCGTTCTTTGTCTGCCAACTTGACGTCGAGTCAAGGTCACTACACGCCGCGCATTGCCGCTTAATATTTGTTCAAAAATCGAGCGTTTGACGAAAAAATAAATACACGATATATCTTACTACACCTCCCCCCCCCCCCCCCCCCTCAAGCCTCACGTGATTAATGGACAACCCCTAACATGTATTAATATTCGAAAATAGAATATGATCCAGTTGACGGGCTTCTGGTCTGACGGTAGTCATCAACGGGTCCTCGATCTCATCAATCCAACTTTTCTTTCAATTTATACTTCTTTGGAAATTGTATGTAGGTGGGTCTATGGATTTTCGAATGTCCAAAGCATAAAAGGGTCGGAGCACATCTTTTGCGATTTATGGACTGGCGTGTTTCATCACCAATTTAGTAAACGCCATGCTTCCGTGTGGGAGGTTTATCATAAACAAAAATGAAATCATATTAAATAGCATTTCTGAAAAGGTAATACAAACTTTTTTCGAACTTTTTTTACTATTTCCAGAACGCTGACTTCCTAGGCGTAGGCGTTACAGTGGATCTCCGAGCAAACAACATAACTTCAGTCTACCTCCGCCCGATAGCGGACGACGAGTCACCCGATTTGTTAGCCAACTTGTTGCTAGATAATAATCCGTTCGATTGTACTTGCAATCTATTCAATTTTATAACTCTATACAAAGACAAAGCTAATATAAAACGTATAAGAATCAAAGACGCCCGCTGTGCGACACCACCCGACTTATTGCGACACAAGTTGACCGATCTGTTGCCGGATCAGTTGATCTGCGATTCCACCCCCTGTCCAGATAGCTGTAGATGCTCAAATAGGCCGGCGAAACGACAGATTGAGTTATACTGTGAGGAATATCCAAGTTATTTCCCTAATGTCTCCGATTATTTCGATCACATGTATTTAAAGCTTGATGATTTGACTGATTTTGCAGTGTTGCCCGATTATGTTAGAGTTCTTAACGTCTCAGGTTTAAATTTGACTGAACCGCCGGTAATTTTCACATCTATGGAAGTAGATTTAAGTAATAATTATATCACAACAGCTCCTAAGCAACTTCTAGAGTCAAATTGCTCAGTGTTCCTAAGTAGCAATCCTTTTACTTGTGATTGCGATAGTAAAGAAAGCCTGTTGCTATTAAAACAATACGAAAAGAATATTCTAGATTACCCCCAAATGACGTGTCAAAATGGAGACTCAATTGAAACGAAAAGCACGCAACAGTTATGCGCTATGAAATTGTCCGTAATAATATCCACCACGTCAATCATTCTGGTAGTACTATTCGTACTACTCAGTGTATTATCGTACAAAAATATCGTATACATACGTATTCTAATGCGCAAACTCGGCATTACGTTCACAGATGAGAGACTAGGTTCGCACGAGTACGACGCGTTCGTGTCGTACGCGCACCAAGATGAAAATATTGTAGTACCATTGATACAAACGTTGGAGAGCGGTAGTCGGCCTTTGAAATTGTGTACGCACTCACGCGATTGGATCCCGGGGGAGCTGATAGCGGAGCAGATCGTACGATCCGTTGATAGATCCCGCCGTACGATAATCGTACTATCGAAAAATTTCATTAATTCGTACTGGGCGAAGCTTGAATTTATAACAGCGCATAGTAAGAATAGAGTGATATTGTTGATAATAGATGATGTACATTTGTCGAACAAATTGAGTTCTGATATAAAAACATACATCGATCTAACCACATATATACATATAACGAACCCGTACGCGATAGAGCGACTTCGGGACGCAGTGCTAGTCAAGGTTAAGGGAAGGGAATTAATCAAGGAAAACGGAAAAGCGCTAGATGTGATTCATGTAGATGGAAAATTAGTGAACAGAGGGGATAAGATTAGATATTGATATAAACGTAAGGAACCCCCTTCCTCCGTCTATTAAAATCTAAGTCACAAATGTTAATGAAAATTCATTGATTCTAGAATTCTTCTAAGAATTACAGATTTTTCGTGCGTTATCATAATTAATACAATTTAATTTTTCTCGACTATACTGTATTTCTTATAAACGCCTATTTAACTCCAAATACTCGAGAGAAAAAACTATGACTGTTATTTGTGCTGTTGCTCTATCGCCCTAAAATAATGTCCTTTGAATTATTTATTCTCTACCCTTGACGCGTCGTAATCTAGCTGGTTTGAGTCTTGCCTGTGTCAATGTTTCTCTCAAATATCATTTAACAATGTTGTAATGTAATAACAACAAAGGGTGTTATATTCTTTAGTTATAATACACTTAATCTTTTAAGGCAATATGTTTAAGCATTATGAGCCATTTAAATATGTCCGTTTGCTTTTAAGACTGTTTATATATAAAGTTGTATGACGTTGAAATCTCAAAATAAAGCAATATTTTATACTCTAGTTAAGTTTGTAAGCAATAATTTTAGCAATATAAATAAATATATCGTTCGACAGCGCTCCATGTAAAAAATGCCGAGGTCATAAGGTTCTATTATTGAGAAGAAATAAAACTTTCGTTCCTCTTTGGAATCTCAGTAATGAAACTAAGATTTATTTTAATTCACTAAGATAGTTTAATATTATAAGCAATACAAATAGAAGCTAGTAGTTAAAAGCAATAATTTGTCAAGAGATGGCGCTGTACTAAGATTGTTTATTGACTTTTGTTACAAGAAATAAAAAGGCTTTAGTCATTATGTTTCTTATTTATTTTATTGTAACGTTTATGCACTGGAATACGGATTCTTAAAGAAATATTTCATATTTAAGGGATATTTTGAAAGTAGGAAAAAAACTAAATACATTTTTATAGAACCTTATTAGGGGGACGAACCCACAACAAGTTAACTATCAACTTATGAGGGACGCTAGCGTTAATCAAAATTCATCTGCTGACGCTTATTTTTATAAATAGGAAAAGGTTTTTGAAATAAAATACTGTGCACAATATGTTTAATATTATATTGGTTAGCTACCTACGCTAGCACCATCGCATTCTGTACATACATACATAAAGGGTCCTTTGAAAGAGTCTAAGAGCTCACGACATGAAATAAGGGCACATCAAGGCATCGCGTTATTTTAACATTCAATGAAAATAAGCAAATAATTTTTAAGTATAACAAGATCTTTTTTTCTAAGGTTTTTTCTAGTAAAATATAAGTTAAAAAAATAAATAAGAGAGCTCAAAATTATTTAAAACATCAGTAAAACGCCTGAAAGTAGCAAAATATGTTGTTGTTATTTTTTTATCATACGTTGTTTTTTTATCCACAATATACACAATTGACTTGTGAGCTCTTACACTAAAAACTAATAACGACATACAATTTCTACATTACTGCTTGAGATTATTACATATAATTAAAAGCCTATGATACTGATCCATGTTTCTAATCATTAATATTTACTTGTTTTGAAAGGGGACAGACAAGGTAAAATACAGGTATATACCATCTAAGCAAGATGTGCTGTCATCTATTACTACGGCTATTCGGAAATCCAGACTATGTTTTCCGTTCGTAGACGGCAGTTTGTCGTTTTTACAGAAATATCTACTTCCTTTATATTAGTTTTCCTAATAATCAATATGTTTTTGAAAATTAAAATATTTTAGAAATATTAACTCATACTTTAACGTGTTTAATAAACGACTATATACAAAGTCGTCTAGTGTTGCCCAAATTTAGTCTTGGTCTTGTTCTTGACTCTTGCTGCAAGAAGAAGACCAAGAACAGGTGTATTGGCGCAAGACTAAAGACCTGGCTAAGTCTCGTCTTGTTCTTGCATTTGGTCAACACTACTAATATATTCAATGTGTGTTAATATAAATACGGTCAAATAAAATTGGGAGACATTTTTGCGTTTTTTTTTAATATGTTCGGGTTTGGTAGATTGCTTTTGTTGGTTTCTCGAGTCTCTGACAAGAACTGCTATGTTTATATAAACGCTTATATAAAATGTCTTCCAAGTTGCAATTTTGTAGAGGACCCTCAAAACAATACTAAAAACCTAATGACATAAAAAAAAACTCTTCTCACAATGGCTGCAAGTACGTTTAAAAAATATTTATAGATTAGAAATAATATTGAATAACAAAACTAAGAGACACTTTATAACAAAAAAAAAATGTTGGTCTTTGAAAACTTTTTCGATTTCATATGTCTTTGCATATTTTATAGATTAAAAATGTATTTGGATTTAAAAAAAATATGACACGGGCAGGTCTTGCACGCATCCGCAACAATTCACTACGGCTCGAACTAATTGTACTGTTGACACGGTAATTGGTTTGAGCAGCGGCACGGAACGCTGTGGATGCCCGTTCAAATCCTAGGCCGCGTTAGGTTTTTTAAACTCAATAGTTATATGTACATTCGTTTTATCGCAAATTTTATCTGTTTTAAGCATTTGAAACAAATAATTAATGAATCATTATTATTTAATACAACTTAGTTTTTATTACAAAAAAGTTAAACCTAATAATTCTGCATGCAATTAAAATTATAATTACAAATGTTTATTTGACTGATTTTATTAATAACAATGTTAAACATTGTTCAAATATAAAAAATATACCTTTTTGTTTAAAAAAAATACAAACTATAACAAACAACTTACGTTCGTAAACGTACGTTCAACATTAAGCGACACGCCGATTATAGTGTACTACCGCTCACGAGATAATTTTAGTAGAATCGGTATTCTACCGAGACTTAGTAGAACTAGTGTTCTACTAAAAATCTACTTTTGATTTGTATCAATACTAAGAGACATGTAAAAACGGATTGATGTGTCATAGTAATATGTAGATGACTGTCTACAAATTGCACTATGCAAAATTTACGATTTTCAGTTCCTCCGATTACCGCTAAGCATATACTCAGTGTCTAAAACTTTATTTATATACTTTTCTTTAAAATGTCCTTAGTATTCATACAAATCACGCAACTATAACTACATTTGTTTGTTAAGCAAATACGTCTAAATGCATAGATTCGTTTTAATTAGATTTCTTGCTGGCTGTACTGCACACATCGAAGCATGAAAAAAATGTAAATGTTAAACGAGTACGATTCTATCGATTCAAAATATCCAAAATGTCGGGTCGCAATTGATAATAAATAAAACACATTTCGCGTTTTATACAGTTAAAAGTGGCTTATTAGATATAGCTTTTGTAGAATTCTCATGTTTTTTAAAGAGTCAATAAAGACATATACTTCTTCAAAACTGCATCAAAATTTGTTTATCCAATTTCAATATGCAATGGATAAACATAATTATGTTATGTCACCTTTTTTATGTTTTGATATGTGCGGTGCATTCATTAGAAAAATCTTTATTATATATTAATAAAAATATGTATTTTGAGATTTTTATAACAGTCTAATGTATTCACGCGAAGCTTATTTATACAGTACACTCGCTTGCAAACGTTTCGGAAATAAATAAAATAATAAACATATATGGCACTAACTTTGTAAATGCATTAAATAATCATATTTTTTATTATATAGAACTTCCATCCCAAATTTAATACTAAAATAGTAACGCGATAGATTTTATTAAATGATAATAAATGCAATTTGCACGCGAGTGTAAGTAAAACTATCTCGATCTAACCTTAACGCGTTAGTAAGAGATAGCGTTACTTCGCCATTTAAAGCCTTACATTGGCATCATTATTGGAATTCATATATTTTATACATTATCGATAAAGCAATTTTTTATATTTTAACTGCCAATTTTTTTAATATAAATACTTTTAAATATTTCTCATCTTAATGATATTAATAACATTGATATAGATATGTTATTTGACTTAAATTACAAAGAAAACAAAAATCTAAACACTATTTTATACTTGTTAAATTCTTATCAATTTTACAGCGATTATCATTTAGGGGGTAGTACTAGTGTGATGTCACTTAACTTGTATACTGTCTCGTTTCAACAAGTATGTTAGAAAGAGAAAGAACTACTTTCGGGTATATTATTAACTACTTTTAGTTATGTATTTCGTAAAGCAAATAAAATGAAGGTAGTTGTTAAAAGTTCCAATAAAAGTTGATCTAATTTAGCTAATTCATTGTTCATTATTAGAGAGCTGGTTAGTTGTTTCCAAGTAAGTGTGTACATTTAGTTTTATTGGAAAGATTTTATTATTAAATCCTTTGTTCGTTTTAAGAGTACAGTGACCGAAGTTATGTGTGTAGTATACTTTTACATGTACCAAACATTTTATTCGACTATCGTCATCAACTTTTATATTATTCTAAAGTACTATTTTATCATAGTTTCATATTGACTTGTGATGCAGTTAATTTTATAGTGGAGATTCTTAAGTCTATATCTAAGTCAACTTAGAATTGGCTAAGCTTATTGGAGGGTAGTTTGTAATCTATAAGTCAGTTTCAGAAGCTTGAGTGTCTAGCCAATGTCTTTCGCGCTCGCCACGTCGGCCGCGCGTTGAATCACTCTGAAACGGGAGTATGTATGATAAGTAAAAAATGGTCCTTCTAGCCAGATCGAGTTTATATTTTTTTTTCTATTACATATGTATATTACCTTGTGTTGTGAATTCTGTTTGTGAAGTATAGTGGCTGCACGCTCCACAATGCGGTTCTCACGAGCCAACAGGACCTCCTAAAATAATAATTTTGTTTAGTATCTATAGAAGCCAAATTAAATAAGTACAATAAAATGAAATATTTTTATGTTTTCAGTTTTATGATCCTGTTGGTCCAGTTAAAAATCTTTTAACACATTTATTTCAAAGTAAGTTTTACACCACAAAAAATCGGAATCTTCAAGTGCCAAGTCGTACTGCGAACAATTCAATTTACACATACCTGCATCATTACAGCTGTCTCCATCTCGCTGAGACCCTCTGCGTCCTTGGCTTCATCTTCTTCGACATCGTGAGGTGAGTACATATGCGGCGGGGGGCGAAGCGCTCGCAGTGCAACCGTCTCGCGTTTCAGTCGCGCCGCGTGCTTGCGCAGGCGCACCTCGCATTCAGAGGTCCACGGCTCGAGGTCTTCAGCGGTGCCGGTGTTGTTCCTGTAATTTTAAATTATTTTACTCATATGTAATACAATCAGGTTTCGACCCCCCCACTCTTTTTACTTGGCTCGTTAGTGAAGGGGTAGCAAAATACCGCCTTAAAACACCAAAAAAATCCCCCCAGGGGTTGGACCCCCCCCGGGGTCCCCATTATGTAATCTTAATGTTTCTGAAACATGTTGGAGTTCGCCTGGAAATCTAGGTATTTAATAGGTGGTAGGAATATCGAAATTCCTTCCGGGACTTTAATCAGGCTTCAGTAACCTGTTTAGTTCGCGGTGTACACTCCTCGGTTTAAACTTTTTTCTCAGTCTGTTGATTTCTGAATAGCTTAAGCTAAAATAGATCGACAACACATCTTGTTTCGATGATATAGGCTAGGTTATTTTACCTACCATCAAGTGAACCACATGTCCGTCTGTCCTGCTTTATCATTAAAATAAAGGCATCAATTATAGGATATTATACTCACTGATGATGGTCATGCCATGGCCCTGGAGAGAGAAGAGCTTGGCCCCAAAGTGGGCCGCATTCGAGACGACGCAGTAACCGCCTCGCCACCGCTTGCGCCGCTTCGCGCTGAACAAAAGACCGCTTAGATATTATATGATGTTTGAAGCCAAATAATTGTATATGGTAATAAAAGTAATTTCCTGCTTTATTTTAATATTAAAGAAAATTATTACATTGTAAAGATGTTGTATTTTTTAAGACCACATTAGTCCGGTAATAGTAATGTAATGGTTGATTTGTTTTTTAATCAAGAAGTAGAGGATTCAGTTTCGGATTGATGCGCTAATCTCAGTAAGTACTGGTGGGAATGGAAAAATTCTTCAAGGAAGGTTAGCCTATAAAGATACCCAAAAAATATGCATGAAAAAATGATTCCTCTTTAAATAATCTAAAAAAGTTTGCGATCCTATGTCTATCTTTTAAGGTTTAATTGCGACGCGCGGGATGAGAAGAAGGTTTGCAATATCTATTTTTGTTGTCCAAGATTCTACGCGAACGAAGTCGCTGATACAAAGTAGCTATAGATATAATATTCCATGTCTCAACTTACCTCTGGACTGTCCGTGTCTTGCTGAGTCTCGGCTAATGCCAACAACACATCGTAGGTCTCCAACGCTCTATCTGCAGCCTTTAAGGCCGAACAAAGCACCACAGAAGACGACTCATGCATTGCGCACGCGCAGGATAACCTAAAAAAAAACACATTTTTAAAGGGATGATCCTTTTATGTATTTTTTTTATAATTAAAAATAAAAATTATACAATATGCAATTGAAATACATATCGATTTCGTATACCTGTGTTGAGTGTCGACCGCTCTGTGCAGAGCCGCATCTAAAACTCTACATTCAGCCGCTAAACGGATGCACCTAGCCCGCCATAGCTCCGTTGTTATTGATTCTTCTGGAAAAGAAAATTAAAATGACAGCTTCTCTTATTTTTATAACATGTAAAGATTTACAAGTTAAGGAAGTAAATAATAGAACAAACATGGATGTCACTAGATGGAAGGTTAAATATCCCCAGCCATATAACATCCCAACAAAAGATGCGCAGTCGGCCTATTTTGACTTGGATACGATCCAACTTCACGGCCATTTGATCTGCGGACTTTCGGGAGCCGGACGGTAATTTCGATATTCTTACCACCCATTTAATGTCTAGATGAAATCTAACATGTTTCAGAAAAGTTATGATTCCATTAGAGACCTGTTGGGCCCGGTGGGGATCGAACCCGCGATCCGTTGACATTACTTCCATTAGCAACAACGTAAGTATTATAAAAAATTTACTAGACTTGAACTAAATATATATAAAAATATAGTTAAAGCTACCTTCGTGATTCGCCGCAACCAACGCTTCTCTCAAATCAGCTTGTGCGCATACATCTAACGCTAGTCGTTCCGCCGCTTCCACGCACCACTTGAACAAATATATTTAATATAAAAATAGTATGTAGCTATACAATAACACATTATTTAACTCGATTTCCGTAAGTGGCGTCTATTGGCTTGTGTCCAAAATCAAAAACTTGCACAATATTAAATTATATTTTTAAAGACCAAGAGCGGATCACAATAAAAAGGCAATACTTATGAACTGGTTCCAACAAATAAAACAACAGTGAATTATGAGGGAAAAAAAACACATTGAGTATTCAATCGGGCCGAGTCACTCTTTAAAGTTTAGGCAATTTGTCGGCCACAACCAAAGTCCGTCGAAATAAGGTGCGCACGCGCTTGTCACCACTACTTCTTATCCCTTCCTTGATGACGTCATCGAGGTCACTATCTTCAGGAACATATAACATTAGCAATAATTTTACTAGTGTAAAACTATTACACCTACCTCTTCGTTAGAAATTGGATTATGGGTCTCGTTTTCGGAGGTCTTTTTTAGGCGAACGCGCGACGCGATCTTCGCCTGACGCGATTCGCAGCGACCTGAAATAGGAGATTAGTATGATTAACTATGTGGTAGACTTTACTGAGGGTGTTGCGTATTCTGTTATAATATTGAGTAAATTGTGTAAGGCCATTGTTAAGTATTAATTCTTTAAGCAATCGAGGTGTTTATAACGTCTCTTGGTGATACCGTCCGCTCGTGATGGCGAAACGTCGAGAACATCTTCTCGCTCATGTCGACCGAATAGCCCCAAAAACAATGATATGATAATATTGAGTTATAAGCGAAATTTTAATGACAAAATAAATACTTTAAGAGTAATTATTAATTATTAACTAGTACACGCACGACACTTATATGTGATCTTAATTTGATTTAAAGTTATGATGTCTTCAAACTCTACAATTAAGGATAACTTTTAATTCTTCTATAAAATGGGCGATTTACCTGGCGAAGGGGGTAACAATGCGGGGGATCCCCTTTCACGTTGACAACTGTTATTCGAGCCGTGCGCTGCTCGCGTGTACTGGCAACACCTAGAAAATTATGTAATAATGTTGTAGATTTGGTGAAACGGAAAAATTGTATGTGTGTGTGAAATTTCTAAAGTTTTATAGGCTGCCACCTTTTCAAGAACAATGCGAAGAATTTCAAAAAGAGGAATAATTAAATCATACATAATTTATATCTATGTTTAGGCAGCGCATGAAATGAACAATTATTCTCCAACTAGCTGTGCCCGTGACTTTGTCCACGTGGAATAGTTATTTTGGGCATCATTATAATAATTTTTTGAAACAGCCTGCTCATCTCAAATTATACTGTTACCCACAAAGTCGACTGTGCCCCGTAGTTCTAGCCAGTTAATCTTAAAAGATAGACATACACTTCGCTGTTCCTACCCCTTTGAATTTTGAAAATTACTATAAATGTTGAAAATGAAATTATTATTATTCGAACCTCCGACCGGTCTTACCTTGCCGTGCTAACGCAAATTTCTGAGTCCCGTTCGGAGAGGCGTAAACTCGAACAGTTCTCGGAATCTTGAGGTGGTGATACCTCCAGCGTTGGATGCATTCTGAAAAAAAAAGGAGTACATGAAGCTTTCAATATACTAAGTGTTCCTTTTTTGCCAGGCCTTCATTCGGTAACTAAAGTACCTGTTGTCATTGGTGCTCGTGTCGGTGCTGTCTTCCGGAAGGTCTTTTGGCTCTTGGGGCGTCGGTAGCTCAGCTGGGCTGATGATTGAAGAGTTCTCGTTCTGAAAGAAGTATTTTAAACTTAGCCAGTTAAGTACTTCCGCTTAAATATGTCCCCCCTTTTCTTCTCGGTAACCACTCAATTGTAACTAGAGAGCTTCCATAACTCCATACATATTTGTATGGAGTTATAGTATATATTTTAGTTTTGCTAAAAAGAAGTAACTGTAAATAAGTCAAATAGGATAAACGATTGAGATAATGAAATAATAGCATGTTGCGGACAACGCCTTCTATGGATGAATTCAATATGTTGCGAATAGCGCCATCTGTTGGTCCATTCAAATCTATTGTTAATTCGCCCCCATCCTCAGAAAATAATTTTCACTCACTTTGCAAGGCTTGCACGTTGCAGTATCGTATCACATTAAAGCTTCTTACATGCAAAACGACCTATCAATCAAGTATAGTTTTAACACAGTATAAGGTATACCTGTTCAGTCCTGGAAAAATCTGCGTCGTTATCCAGTTCTCCGGCAGGCTGAGTTGTGGATTCACATTCATCTGGAAACGAATGGAGTTAGCTAAGTTTCATCAATTGACTCGGTAGCTCAAGATTTGATGAGAAGATATTTAAATCAATCTATATTTTTTCAAAAATATAGGTTGGGCTTCGTCTTTGAATTTGGATATTAAGCAGACGATCAAAGATGTAAAAGCTGTAAAGTTCATTTGCATTTCGGTTTCAGTCTATGAATTTCCGAATAACCAAAGGCAAAGTTGCCACAGCGCATCCTTTTAAGATGTTATATGTTCTCTAGTAAACTATCCCCACGCTCGTCTATGTACCTGTAACAACAACCATCACCTAGATTCTAGAACATACCAGAAACCTCCTCCTCCGGTATCGCCTTCGCCCGTTTATCAGCAGCGCGTCGTCTCACCAACTCAGCAATGACTCCGTGCAGTTCAGCAAGCCTTGCGTCGTGAGCTCTGGCCGCCGTTGCTGCCCTTTGTCGCTCGCTGGCCAACGCGCGTGCTAAGGCGTCGCGTTCAGCCCGAAGGCTCGATGCATCTTCTACACGACCACTGCTGTGTGTTGCCAGCTGGAAAAGGTGAAATAATAATAAATATAAGCTATTATTACAGCTACAGCTTCTCGTATCTTCGAAACGAGACAAAAGAGGTTTGTCTCTTTATCACTATCTCAGTGGTCAGTGGACTATTAACTCATTTCGTTGAATAGACATAATCAAATAAATTTCTGAATTAGGACGACTAAAAAAGGAGTAATTGTCTCCTTCATGGCCCAGTTGTAGAGACAAGTGGACATTGTTACCTGCCTCTACCTCTTGAATCACATTATCTCCCTAATAGAAACGTATCAAAATTCGTTGAGCAGTTTTAAAAATTTAAGCGCACATAGGGACAGAAAAATATATATCTATAATTAACGGTCGCAAAGTCAAAGTACCAACTTTACACAAAACGTTATAACTACCCCGTAATGATTTGATAGCACGGGTATCCGAAGCCCAAACAGGTAGACAGCGCTTCGTGTCATGATGTCATAAACACTGTAACGGTTTGAAACGCGATATAATTAGATAAACTTATTTGATAATTATTTTCAGTCTCCCCGTGACCACGGATGCTGCAAAGCATCAGAAACGTCGGGCCGAAGTTAAAAATAATTGTCAAATAGGTTTAATTGATATTTATCGCGTTTTGAACAGTTAAAGTGTTTTATTTAAATGTATTCTACTCGCGTAAACTACTGACAGTATTTTATACGTTTGATGGATGGTTTGAAATAGAAATAAAAAATCGCACGTTTAAATCTATTGATAAGTGTCCGTCCGGTTCTGTTGTCCACATACATACAAATTAAAGGAACAATAGATGCACTCTATACGGCGGCACAAAGTCTAGACCGCAAGGACGGATTATACCGTTCCTTTTTTGATATGCTGTGCACGTATTGAGTATCGTTTGAGCCACGCTAATGAAACCGACTGCTGTCGATTAAAAATAAACTTTATGATTAACAAACTTTAAAATATAGTGACATTACTTGACTAGACGAAAATAAATTTATAATGCGTTATCTTAAAAAAAAAACAAAAGTTTTAAGAAAAGATGTATTAAATACTGTCTATAGTTGTATAGAAAAGATGTATTTCTAAATTTATATCAAACACTAACGCATGCTTTGCAGCAGCCGTGGTCACGGGGAGGCTAAAGATGGAGGATGTCTCTGTCGTCAAAGTGAAAATTGCTACGGTAGCGCTATGTGTTCCGTCCAAGTCGGTATTTGGCGAAACTGGCCGGGTCCTTACACGCCGGGGCGAAACGTCGGGCCGAAGTTAAAATTAATTTTCAAATAAGTTTAACTAATATATATCGCGTTTTAAACCGTTAAGGTGTTTTATTTAAATGTGTAGTATTTGCGTAAACTACAGAGTATTTTTCTAAATTGTATATTGTGAGTAGATAGCATGACAGCTCTTTTATCAGTCCATAAATCTTTTTGTATAGGAATCCTATAGCATCCGTTATTTTTTAATACCAAGAGATCTGGCCGTAGTGACAGTATTCTTGGAAATTAAACATAGTAACCAACTTATTTAAAAAAAAAACAATTTCGTTGTAGCCTCATTACCTATGCATTCATCCATAAAGTAAACATATTTTAATTTTAATTTTTTTCACTGGTTACATATGATGGCACTATACAAATTAAAAATTTAAAAAATTACGACAAGGGCAGAACTTGAACCGGCATCCACAGAGTTCCGTGCTGTTTCTCTAACCAATCAGGCTACCTGTCCTACACGCCATCGTCGTATTTTTTCACACTTTTGATGCATGCACCTCAACACGGTGTATATAGCAAAAATATTACTTATCCCTAAGATCCCACTTAGGTTTAACTTTAAAACGACCTACCACATGAATCCCATTCTGTCCAGGTATAGGTGGCGCCGTCACCGGCCGCAGACTCGAATACCTCCAGGAAGACTCCCTCGACAACTCCTCATCCCCCATATTCGGGCAGCACAAGTACCAACTCCTACTTCGTCTAACACCGGGAGTCGACTCGAGCTGGGTTAGTGGTACTCTACCGACCACTTCCAGTTCAGCTAATAGCGGTTCCTTCTCCTTGGGCTCGGGCATCGGGAACGTGCCAGCCGTAGAGTAAGTTTCTTCCACTTTATGGACGATTTTCTCGAATCTATCTCTGTCTGGGGGTACGTCTTTGTTGGGCACGACGTCGAAGATCTCATTTGATTCCACGTACTCACTGAGTTCGTTGGGATCTAGGTCTCGCCTGTTCTCATCATTGTGGTCCTCTTGGATATTCTGGCGTTTGATCTTCTCTAGATCAGCGTAGTAATACGCGGTGGAACGCGGCGGTTCGACGCTTGGATTTCTGTTGCCCGCCATTTTTAGTGTATCATATTTATTTCACTGTTTTATATTGAAAAATTTGTTGCCTCACCAATAGTCACATGTTTTATTTCTAAAATTAGTTTTTAATAATAAAATCGTAGGTACTGACAGATTTAGAAAACACTCGTATGCGTTCTATATGTTTGAGATATGCAGTTGGTTCGATTTTACGAGTAGGTATCACTTACATACAAGACAATATAGACACATTGTATTTATTTAAGTTTCTAAGTTTAAATGAAATATTTAAATAAAACGTATATTTTGAATATCAATATTTAATTTTAATGGTAAAAAATGAGAAATAAAGAGGCAGGATAAAAAAATTTAATATTAAGGATGTATTTTTCAATACTTTCTTTATTAAAAAGTATTAAAGGAAATTTTCGTGTTCCACAAACTAGAATGTACGACAAATACATTTTCCGCGTTAATACAAAGATCACAGACGCGCCTTAAACGCTTTTAACACCTCAGACAGAATAAGTGTCGCAAACCACAAAGTGAAAAAAAAATTGCTTTTAAACTGAAAACTTTTTTCCAACATATGGGAAACGATTCTGTAACCTTTCCTAAAACAAATGTTAAACTAGCTTATAGTATAATACCTGAAAATACAAATGCCTTTTTTTAGGTAAAGTTTTTTTCATAAAATGCCAAAAAACTATTTCCACATACAAACAAAGAAAATAAAGTTAATTATTAAAGTGACTTTTTTATTTTAATTATATTAAAACTAAGCTACTACTTCTAGTCTAGACTTTTTACACTATTATTATAGCTATACTAATATTATAAAGTTAAGTAAAGAGTTTATTTGAACGCGCTAATCACAGGAAAAATTGATTCGAATTGAATTGAAAATTCTTTGTGTTGGTTGGACCATTTATCGAGGAAGGCTTTAGGTTAGATAACAACACTGGAAAATGTGAAAAAAAGAGAATATTATTCATATTATTCGTCTTCGAGGGCTTGGTTAACTAAACCGTTTGGTTTAGTTTACCAAAAAGTATGTATGAAATAATGATTCCCATCTAAATGATGTACTTATAAAAAATGTCCGCGATAGTAGGTATATACATTAAAGATTAACTCGCAAGAACGACGGGACCCGGATGACGCCATGGATTTCAAAGATTAGAAAGCTGAAGGAGTTAATTGCTAAAGTAAGTGAATAGAAAACTTTTAACTTCAAATCACGCGCATAATTTCCGCTTTGTATTCATTTGTGTAGGGGTATGCCCCTGATTATCCTATGAAATTCTTTCCAAATAAACGAGCGATCGGTTAGGTCGAACCCTTATGAATATAGGGTTTCCGTACTGGTTACAAAACCGCACGACATATACACATATACGCCTACTACATATTTTAATCCTAACACACGCAACGTACACTCGTGTGCAAAAAACGTTGAGCTGTTACGAAGTCCAAAAATCATGAAATGCATCTCTAAATTAATTCTTAATTAAAATTATGATGATAAAGCAGTGAAGTTAATATGTGATTTATTATTCAGGTATCATTCAAATTTTTCAAAATCTGTCATCAAATGAATTTCCATAAAATCTTAAAGACCTGCACATTTGCTTTATTATTAAGATAGAAAAATTAATATTAATAGAATGAATATTAAATAAAACCATTTAAACCGTTTAAAACGCGAAAGATTACAATGTAAGCCGTACTTAAACTAAAGTGTAAATGAGTAAACTAATAGATTACGCGTTTTAAACCGTTAAGTATGATTTTTTTATGTGTACTACTCGCGATAAATACAGACGGTTTATATTATTAGACTTAATGACGTCACTCTGTAGGCAAATAGCTTTATATTGGGATTAGTCAAGCCGTTGCCATCGAAAAAGCGCATCCATGGATATAAACTCAAATTTATTATTGGATTTTCCGCCTCCGGCTATACTCGTTACCTTTGATTGATATCCGCACGCTCCCTATAAATACAATCGAACGACCTTGTCTAAACTGCATCGAGTCGAACCACTCAATACCTTATCCACTCCCCCCATCGCCTCCCCGGGGCGGTGAGGGGGCTTAATGCAATCGCGTTACGCAATTGCAATACGAATAACTGGATTTTATTGTGGTAGGGTATGCATGTATAGTGTATACGCTTGACATTGTAACCACAATATATACTACATATATAGTAATAATTACAACTAGCTGTGCCAGTGACTTCGTCCGCGTAGAATAGTTGTTTTGGGCATCAAAATTTGTTTTTGAAAACCTCTACATCTTTTTGGTCGGTCGGAAGGTTATATAGGCTATAAAACATCGCGAAGCGATGATACAGCGGGAAATATGAACAAAACAGGGGAAAATTTTCATCTCTGTGGGTTTAGATGCGTACGCTGCGACGATTCAAGAAACCAAAGAACTGTGTATGAAAGAATGATTCTTAATTAAATCTAATATAAAAAAATTCTCGTGTCACGGTGTTCGAACTTGAACTCCTCCGAAACGGCTCGACCGATTTTCACCAAATTTGAAATGTGTATTCAGTAGGTCTGAGAATAGGACAACATCTATGTTTCATCCCCCTAAGTGATAAGGGTTGTTCACCCATTTTTTTATTTCTTAGACAAAATTTTTAATTTCTATTTTTTTTATGATACAACATACAAAAATACATACAATCCTCAATTTTCACCCTTCTACGATCAACCCTTATTTTTTAATAGACATTTTAGTAAAATTATTTATATGGCAAAACAACGTTTGCCGGCTCAGCTAGTGATCTATAAAATGCCCGCGTTGCGAGTTGATCCTAAAAGATATACATGTTTATTTTTTAAATTAACTCGCAACACGACGCGGCTAGACGCAACCGACGCCGCGGTTAACAGCTAAAATCTATCAAGGAGATTATTTGCGAAATTAACTTCGCAAGCACGCCTAGCCGTGCTAAGAAAATAAAAAAACAAAAAAATCCGGTTTTTAATAAATGTCCTAAGATAAAACGTCTACTATTAAGTACACTATCTCTTAGCAGTGCTATAGCGAAGCACTCGACTTCGATCGGCCGTGTCAAGGTCGAAGGGGTGGGTGACGTCACTTCGAGTACTTGTAGCGCTTGGGGGGGTGGAAACTGACACTGAGGGATCGTAGGTTAGATTCTTAGGTGAGTTGAAGTGGGTAGCTTTTTATTAAAATGGCAATGTGATGTGCGTTATAGGAAAAGTTTTTTTTGTTTAAGACTCGTATCTCCACTACAGCCCGTGTTAAGAATTTAGTTCTGTTTAAATTGACAGTTCAAGATATCACAAAATTATGTTGATGGTAATTTTTTTAAACAATTCAATAGTTTCATTAAACACAAGAATTCCAGCATAAAACAACACACTTACTTCCATTTCATAAAAAAGATAATAATTTAAATAAAACACTTTAACGGTTTAAAACGTGATATATTAGTTAAAATTCATTCAAATAATTTTAACTAATATATCGCGTTTTAAACCGTTAAAGTGTTTTATTTAAATGTGTACTACTCGCGTAAACTATAGACAGTATTTAAGATAATAATTGTTTTAATGTCCTATATCTATACTAATATATAATCTGAAGAGTTTGTTTGAACGTGCTAATCTTAAGGAACTTCTGATTCGAATCAAAAAAATATTTTTCTGTTTGTAAGAGTATTTATCGAGAAAGGCTATAGGCTATAAAACATCGCGCTATGACTAATAGGACCGAAGAAGCAGCAGGAAATTTGAAAAAACACGGGCAAATTTTTCATCTCTGTGGGTTTCCGATGCGTACACTGCAAAAACGGTTAAAGTTAGCCTAAAAGTATATATGAAAGAATGATTCCTCTTTATATGATCTAACGAAAAGTCCGCGACACATAAGTCTATCTTTTACGATTACTTTGCAAGAACGGGAAGGGACGCGACCGACGTCGTGGGTAATAGCTTAAGTTTATAAAGATGAAAGGGTTTGCAAAAATGAATGTGGGGATGCCCAAACTAACGATTATCGCGGACGAAGTTGCTGACACAGCTAGTTTTTAATATTGATTCGCTACGAGATCTTATTTAGCCCTTCAAAATGAGCTACGTAATAGTAAGAATTGATCCAATAACTACATAGGGAGTAGTTCAATCTCTGTTCAAATCAAATGTGAAATCTATCACTAGGTACACTTATGTGCGTCATTACAAATACTGTCTGTAATGTGCGCAAGTAGTACTCATTCACATAAGTTTTACTAATAAATATCGCGTTTTAAACCGTTCAAGTGTTTTATTTAAATGTGCGCTAGTCGCGTAAACTAAAGACAGTATTTACTACCAGTTTCCATATTAAGGGCGTAGAACGAACGAGACGTTTCTTAATTGCATATCTTTTACAGCTATCCTTAATTCAAATTCGCTGAAGTCGAAAATCATTTATTTGTGTAGCTTACTAGTAACCTCCACTAATTAGTGGCAAGTAGACTCCAAAATTATATTTACTACCGGTTCTCGTATCAAGGGCGTGTAAGAGAAGAACTGGTACGAAACTCGCTGCCTGCCCTTATCATTTAGGAATACAAATCCCAAGTATGGTTTTCATTGTAAAGTTTTATACATTTTGTTTACTGGTGTTGGGTATTTGTTTTTTTACATGTTACACGTTATTTAGGTTACGAATTGCACCAAGTGACATCACTAGTTGGATATGCATACAGTTGTGCAATAGTACAACTGACCTAATTGAGTTTTGTGAGTTCACACGAAAAGAGGAACACATTTTTGTACTAGGCTGTGTAACTAAACTAATACCTACGACTATATACCTAAGGATTTAGTTTGATTGACAGGCTTTTAGGCATAACATAATATGAAGTTTGAAAAAATTGGTATTTCATTTTAGTTTTATGTTGTCAAAACTGGATTTATTAATCAATCAATTTAATTGGTCTGAAACAAGAATGGAAATTAAATTGAAACTTTTCTGTGTGCTTGCATGGGTAAGTATAACAAATT